TTGCTGAATCAGCTGCAGCTTCTTACCTGAATTGTTGCCCTATCAATCATGAACTAAAGAGATGCACTTCATAAATGCCACTTTAATGCCACTACATTGTATTTTCATTTAACATGAGACTGAAGAGTCTGTCTGCTTCAGCTAGAGGCTCAGATGGAACAAAGGGCTTTCTGGCCACCTGAATGTTGGGCAATACCCTGGTTATGCCAGCATTCTTCATATCACAAAACAGGATCTCCGATATAGAACCTTGAGTGAGATTTATCAACATGTAAATACTGCATAAGAATATGCTTTATAGCTGAAAACTTAATTGTGCTCTGTTTGAGCAGCTGCACTCACTGCATTAGCAGCCCTTAAGCCAACTGTGACCTTTTCAGTTGCAGAGTTTCTGTCTCAGAGATGGCTTGAGGCAAAGTTCAGAATTAGTGTGGGGTTCATAGGCATTACACTGTCCTTTTCATTAATATTAGGATATAGTCTTCCATTCCTTCAGCTAACAATATTTAATATATGCCTTTTAAAAATTATTGACTACTTAGATCTTCAGTAAAAAACACTTCTAAAATGAATTGTAGTTCTATGTGGTGCCTTTTAAGAATGATTTAAAATACTATGCTGTCTGTCTGCATGCCATGTACTGCATAAAACACTGCTCACTTTTTTGCCAAAAACCAGCAATAGAAAAAGATGCATAGATAAGATGCAATTCCTTGCAGGGAAGGTATTTTTTTAAAGTATTTAGAAGGTAATTTCTGGGCAAACAAGTTAGCAAACATGAACTGTTCAGTCTGGCTGTTTGTACTTTTCCTTGTCCTGTCAGGTAAGTTCACAGGAACCTGAAACATGGGCACACCTGTCCACTGTTCCCACTTAATGAACCCCAGCATCAAAGATGTGTATTACAGATTGTGTACTAGGAACAGCTAAAGCTACAAAAAGGGGTGCATTTCCTTGTTGACAAACAGTAATGTGATTCAGCAAAATTCCTGGTGACCAGGGCTAATTTCTGTGTGTAAGAAGATGCTTGAAAACTGGGAGGATATGGGCTCAAAATCACTACTAGCCTTGAAAAATACATTCTAGTATATGTTGTCACTGATGCCTCAAGTTCTAGACTAGCTTCTGTTGATGTTCAGTCTGGTAAGAATCTCCAGCAGCAGAAACTCTGCTAGAGACCAAAAAAAGGCCAATATGATCTCATGTATGTGATGACTGTTGTGTGAAAATCCTAGTCCATATATTCACCATCTGCTTTTGGAAAAAACAAAAAAGTGTATGAGACGGAAATGCACAGATGTCTAATTGAAATGGTTGTTTTACACATTCATCCATTTCCCAGCACAGTTTACAATGTCTGTACAAACATTTGTGCTGTCCCACTGCATAGGTGGTTGGGGATTTAAATAAGCAGCTGTAGGCAAGGGATGCTTTCTGTGACAGTTCTGCCTTAAATGTGTAAGAAAGCATAACCTCAGAGAGTGAACCCAGCAGTAAAGTATCCTTCCTTTCTGTTGAATACCATGTAAGGAATTGAATACCATGGAAATATTTGTCTCATCTGTAATTCACAATTTTGTATGAGTACAGGCTAATCTAATCTTAACTAAGAATTCTTTTCCAAAGCTTTATACCAATTCTAGATAAGTTGCTAGGATCCCAAATACAGGACTTAWAATCTTCACTGTTAGAAAATATGAAATGAGCTTTTAGAAAGTARTAGTATTTATGTTCTTTTGTTTTCTTTATTCTCATGTCTTAGAAACGATATTTTCAAGGTCTTCTCTATAACCAACAGGATTAACATCTTCTTTAAACAAGATATACTTCAGATACACACAAAAAATATGATTTCAAGAGCTTTAAGAGACACACAGAGAATACAACGAATCTCATTAAGAAGAAGGCTGTGAAAGTTTGGCTTTGTGCGTTTTGTCAAGCTTCCAACACCACCAAGCCAAGCAGATTCTAACCCATGATAGGAGAAGTGCAGATGTGCACACAGTGAGCTCTTGCTCCCTTACATCACCTSCTCAAGACCTGGGCAGGTTTCCAGGTCCTGATGTTTTCTGAGAACTCCCTCTCTRTGCTTTTGGGGCAATGTAGAAGAGTGTCAAAGAAAAAGAGTCAGGATCTTACCTGCTGGCTTGCAGGCACTACGGAACAATGTGGGGATAAGAGCCAGCCCATACAGAGACACAGCTCATGCTTTGCCCATCTGCCTGAGCACAGGATGACTGYCCCCCAGGAAGGACAGCAGAGACCTGAAAGGGTCCTTGTGAGCTGCACGTGCCTAGAAGATATCAATACAGCACCTCTTTCAACAAATAYTTTAGAATACAACCCTCGCAAAGAAAATGTTTTATTTTTCTGTTACCTAGATACCACTTCTGGAGATCCCAAAACTTTGTATTAGACTGTAATTAGATATATTTCACAACATCCCCGTGAGGGAAATCACTAATTACAGCAGTTTGTTGAAATTAAAGTAAGTGTAGTCATGGTTGGTAGTGACTAGCGTATTACTGCAATCTTGTATTACTACACTTCAGGCTATGATTGTATCAAATCTCAGAAGCCAAGAGGGTTGGGTCTGGCTGGCACATGTATAGAGAATGTAGAACTGAACCACGTATTTGCAATTTCTTAAGAAGTTATGTGCTCATAAATCACAAATAATTTTAATTTGCTCAGGAATAAATACTCTGGGGCTTTGGTGTCAGGAAACATTCTAGAGCTTGAGAGGTTTTGTTGTGCCAGAGATGTAAAACCTATGGCCTGTCCTGATCAGCTGCAGTCATATAAAAATCCCGTATTTTTACACAATTGATAATTTTGCAGGACAATTAATGGCAAAATGGGAAAATCCCAAGTCAGAAACTTACATTTGCCTTGCATCTTCTCATTAGAAATGCAAAAGTAATTATTTCTCTTGCATTTAAATATCTTTCTGAAGCATTAGTACACCAGTGAAAATTCCATTATAGAGCTGAGTGCACCTCAGCAGGGAAAGAAGTCTTTTTACACACACAGACTATGAAGTTTTCTGTTACAACAAATAATCCATTAATTAATGTGAGATAAATATGTTCTGGTAATGTAGTTTTAGATTAATTAAATGGTATTTCACTTTTTAACAAAAATATATCAAATGTTGATTTTTATTCCTTCTATTTATTTTTTTAATGGATGCATGGAAAGAGAAGCCTGGTTGCTGAAAAACTGCAGAACTCTGCTAATTATGAAATACACAGGGCTCTGGCAGGACTGTTAGACTTCCAGAGAGTGAGCTAGACGAGGTGAGGGTGTATCAGACTCAARCATTTCACAAACTGTCTCCTAGCTGGTGCACAGAGGATTTGATAAAGATCAGCAAGCCAGCACCCAAGAAACACAGAAAAATGGCTCACAGAGCAAATCCACTTTTTAACTGATGTAAAACTGTACTTGGTGGTGTTGAGGGTAGCTGTTGACTTGAACTGTAGCATCAAAAACTCATAGCAGGCTTCACAACTGCCCTGGCTTACAGTTTTGCAGGACAGCTGACACCAAAAAGGGTGTCAGTCACTCCTCTTCCTTAGCTACCATTTCTGAGTAACTGGTTTCATTTCCTCCTTTCTCCTGTCCTCGGGGCCCTGAGCCGGACAGGCCTTCCAGCCTGCTCAACTGGCAGAGCCCTGCTCTGCCACATTTGCTGGCTTCTTCTCTCTTCTGTTCCTACAGCAGGAATGTCATCCTTTGTTTAGCACAAAATGTCTCTGAAGTTTTGTTAGTGGGCATGGACTGGATGTAGGTGACCAGGTGCTGGCAGCAGGGGTGATCTCTGTGAGGAAATTGGGCTGTCCCACGCTGGACACAGCCACTTCCAGACAGCTCCAAMATACTCACCATGGGGAATGGCTGAGCCCCAACGGTAACACCAGTGGCACCTCTGGGAAAACGTATTTAAGGAAGGACAAAACCACTATGTATCAGTGAGAAAGTGTTTAAACAGTAAGGTMAAAAAAGGAGGGAGTGAAGGTGCTGCAGGTAGTGCAACAAGGATTTCCCTGTAGCCCATGTAAAGGACCACAGTGGTGCAAATATCCACAGTGCAGCCCATGAAGGACCCCRCAACAGAGCAGGTTCCTCCATTTCTGAAGGAATGGAACTTCACGTCTTAGAAACGACAGACATCAAAGACAATTTTGAAGTCTTTCACCTTAACCGCAGGAATCAAATCTGTAAAATCTTGGGAAGATTATCTTCGAATGGTCAGACAGTCTGWTAGAAAAATGTGTGCGTTTGTCCTCTGGGGGAAAAACCAACCAAACAAAACCAAACCGAACAACAAACTCAGAAACCACAACCCAACATAGGAAGCGCGACTATTTCCAAAGGGAGGCACAAAGCAGCGGGACGCCGGAGGTTCTCATGCTGCCGCTTGCTGCTGCTGCTGCTCTGAAACACTTGGAAGAAGCCGGGTCTCCTGGGGCAGCCCTCGCAGAAGGGCGAGCACGGCGCTGTCACGCGTCCAGAGGGGACCGCGCGATGCATCCATAGAAAATGACGTGATGCGGGATTAGTCGGTATTTACCAACTTTTATTTATTTGTATTTACACGCCGCACCGGCSGTTTTGCCGATATCCACAGCTCAACCCGCGCACAGCTCCGGGCGGGACACAGGCTTCACCCCCGTAGGGCGGTGGGTTCATGAGCAATCGCCGCCTCCTCCGACTCGCTCCCGCGGGACGGGCGTAGGGGAACCCTGGCAGGGGAGAGGGAGCGATGGCGATCGCTGCCGTACCGCATTTCCCCGCTTACCCCTGGCTCCCTCAGCCCCGCGGGTGCGCTGCCTCCGGAGGTTCCTCGCCCGCTGCCGGGCACCGCCCCGTCCCGGCGCCTCCGCTGGCTGGTGGCGATGGTTGGAGCGGGACGGGGCGGGGAAGGGAAAGGCGGGGGGGAAATGTCGYGGTCGCTACGGGAGACGAGGGAAAACCGGAAGCCGGCGGGGCGGGGCGGCTCGGCGCTGGCGAGCCCTTCCCCGCTCCCAGCCTCTCTCCGCCGGGCGGCGGCGGCAGCAGCGCCATGGGCTGYTTCTTCTCCCGCCGCAGGAAGCCGGCCCAGGGCGGCCAGCAGCAGCAAGCGGGAGCCGGGCAGGACTCGGCGGCCGGCGAGCAGAAAGCGCCGCAGTACAGCTGGGATCTGCGAGCCAAGGTACCGCCCCGGCTGCTGCCCCTGGCCGCGGGATGGGGCTGGGGCTGGGGCTGGGGATAGGGATAGGGTGGCGCTGGGGCTCTGGCTGGGGCTGGAGGTATCGCCTGTCTCGCTGGGCAGCGCCTCGCCCTCTCCTGCCGCCCGGGATTTGCGGCGGGGTGTGTGCTCCGGCACGGAGCTTGCCTTTCCCWGTCCCGCTGTTACGGCTCGGTCCGCGCAGTTCAGTGCGTTTATTTGAACGATGAAAAGTGTKTAGCCTAAGGATTTGACCAGTCTCAAATTGTGCAAGCGGAGAGGGCGGTGCGCTGGGTGCCGCGGCTGCCGGCGGGGCGAGCGTCGGTCCCCGGTGCGGGGCTGCTCCGGAGGAGGCTGGCGCTGCCTSCCGGTGGGACAGCGCGCTGTGGGCAGACAGCTTGGCTGGGACAGTCCCCACGGGTGCCTGCTTGCCGTCGGGGTTCCTGATACAGCGCTGAGTCCCCTGGGTGCGCGTTAATGGCTGGGTAGCTGCTTTGCTCGGGAGAGCTGGGGACTCCGCACCTGCCATTGCAGCGGACGCGTAAAACTCGTACCTTGTGTCCTGCTGACTGTCAGTCAGTATTGATTCTTCCTGCTTGGGTGTTTGCGCTGTTGCTTTGGGTTTTTTAAAAGAGGAAGTAGAACCAGCTTATCAGTCACTAAAATGAGAGATAAATCCTTCCCCGTGCTGTTTCCAGAGCTTCTGGAGGCAGTCGTCAGGACTCAAGCAGGAAAGCATTTAAATGCTGGATTAAACGTATTCCTTCCTAGCCTCATTTCAAGTTTTACTTCCTAAATATATAATGACATTACAGCCCTGCTAGGCCTCCCCTCCCCTCCTCTCCTCTCCAGCTGCCTTAGGGTAGGGGAAGCAGAAACTGGAGCAGGCGTTAAACCTAATTGATGTGGTTTCAGCAAACAAAATTTTCAAACCTGTAGGCCATCTTTTACAAGTATGGAAAAGAAAACGTGTGAACTTATTTGAATGTTTAGCTTGCTTGTTTTTTTAAACTTGGCCAGGTGCTCTAGGGTGTCCCTTAAAGTCTTCCAAGCAGATTAAGACGAGCTTAGATGGAGATGAGCTAGAGAGTGTGCGCRTGGCCTGGAGGAGTCGGTTCCCTGAGGATAAAGATGAGCAATCTGTGCTGGGCTTGTTGCTTTGACTGGATAGTGGATATTTACAGAGCAGACAGAGAAGGGGAGGATAGCAGCCTGTCACTTGGATGGAGACTATTCTCACAGGGGGAGGGGCTGTACTGAAGCCATATTTCAGAGTGGTGGAATAAAACTTAGTCTGCCTAAAAGTAAATTACTAAATCAACGTTTGGAATAACATTTTTTTTTTAATTTTAGAGCACATTTCCCAGCTAAAACTCAACAGGTGTAAGAATTTTTACCTCATCTACTTATATACAACTAACTTTGAAAACTAAAAGAAGCAAAGTCAGGATTTAGAAAGACTTGATTCAGAGAATAGCTGGCCTTGTTGCTAGGGAGATGATTGTTGTTAACTTGGTGGAAGTAGGCTCAAGCTAACAGATGAAACYGTTACAGCACCAACAATCTATCTCTGAAGTAAAAAAAAAACCAAAAAAACACTGTCATGTGCTGACATGTAAAACTTCCTCCTTTTCTGTAAAAGACTTTTAGAAACCAGAAGAATCCGTGAGTTTTGGCTGTGCTAGTGAACTGCATGAGCCATTGAATTAGCTACTTAATTTTGTGTTGTACAGCCTAAGAATGGCTATTTAATGTTTAAGACCATTTCTCTTGCTCTTTGCAGCATTTTCATTGGGCTTTTTGGGTGTAAGATTAATGCCTTAAACCAGGAAAGCTCTGAAGTCACCTTCTCTTAGGTAAAGGAACACCGAACACTTGGTGCACTAAACRTGTTGATCCCAGCTTGTATTAAGTGATACTAAATCAATGTTAATGTAGTAACTTTGAATGTTGTCTGTGATACCTTGTCCTGTTGCTTTCTTATTTCTGATGCATGACAGGTAATTATTTATGTCACAGTTTGTGTTTGTATGTAATGTTAAATTGAAGTCAGTTGGAAAACTTGTGGCATCGAGACTCCTTTTTGTTCATCAAGTGCATTGAATTGTATTCAAAACCTTGAAAACCTCAAGTCTGTCAGCAGATGTGCTAAGGAGTCTTTTGATATATATTTCCACCATTTGGGYTGGAGATGTGTTTCTAATTTTTAAGCTGTGTTACTCAGCGATGCAGTTGTGGTTATATAGTGCAGTTTTGCAAGCAGGTTTGGCAATTGTCTGTAGTTTTTGTAAACTGTGTTCCGTATGTTCTTACAGATGGGTATCTCTTGCTGCTCAGACACTCCCACTGTCTTCCTGGAAACTAATGCCATGCTGACATGGCAGAAAAATGTAGGCACACTTGTGTGYGTGTTTGTGTGATTAAGGATGTGTGGAGGTTGACTGAACCTGAGGGTTTCTTCAGCTTCTGAAGGAGATCATTGCTAATTGAGCCTATTTTAATCATGTTCTGATGGCACAAGTTGATTAGTATTGCTACTATCTGGTAGAAAAAAATGATATGATGATATCCCAGTGACCATGTAACTCTTGTTTAATACTCCCAAAAAAGGACCATGTAGAAAACTCTWAATAGAAAGTGTTATAAGATGCTGGTAGTTGAATTAAAATTAAGGAAAGTATGTGAATTTGAGGGGACTTTTCAGATTTCTGTGACTTTATTAAGGACAGAAGTTTTAAGGTATGCAAAATTTAAYCAAATTTAGATTGTGTTGTAAATCCGCTGGAGTCTCTGTAATGCTTACTGAGCCTTGGGTTCAGAGAACTGGGTGAGGATTACCTATGGTGCAGTAGAAGAACCAAAGGATCAGGTTATCTTGAAAACAGAAGGGAAAAGGRTGAATATTCAATTTCTTGCTACTCTGGGATTTTTAGTCCATGAGTATAAAGTAGAGCACCATTTATTCCAGAATCTGTGATTACTGAATTGAATCCTGAGGACYTACTATGTCTCTTACTGTCTTTGGGCTGTCATGAGAGTCTCCTGACCAAGTGTGGGAGAGGAACTTGGTGGTGCTCAGCCCTTCTCAGCCTTCTTCAGCTAGCTTTGCACCTGGATTGTTTTCCTTTCCTACTTAATGTATGACTAACAGCAGAATATGGGTATGTACAGACAGGAACTGGGGTTTGTGTCATGTCATGGCAGATACCCTCATGACCTTCTCCACAGGAGAAGAAACACAAATAGGTGCATCATCTTTTGTGCTGTTGTCTCATGTTCAAAGAGGTAGGATTAGATTAATTATRATCACAGTGGCATTTAGAGCTTAGAGGAACTTAGCTTTCCAGATGTTTTTTTTTCCTTCTAGAAGGAACAAGTAAGGTTTTGTTTTATGTCAGCTGACTTGCAACTCAACTGTTTTAGCTGATAGGAAACATGCAACTATCATTGTTATTGTTGGTGATGGCTGTGTTTAAGTAGTTTAAAAACCTCAAGAGGTTTAACTTTCTACCAAATCATAGATAGTGTTTTTTTTATTTATCTTACATTTGAGGATTCTTCTCAAATGGTCTGAGCTGACTTGGGTATCTTGAACTGTCTAGATTTTGTTTAGGTAGCATTTTGTATTTTATTTCAGAATATTAATAAAATAATTTTTCTTTTCTCTAAGCAATTAAAATATTTTGTCCTTAAATCCAATGTATCTCTCTTATGCTTCCTGGTGCACCAGAACTACTGCTGTGATTCTCAAAATGTGGTCAGATCAACTGAGAAACAGTCTGAAGGTTTAAATTAAATAATTTTGCAGTTAGGTCAAATACAGGCTTGTAGTAAGTAACTTACTTTCTTTCAGCTCTTCTTTATGCAGTATTTGGCAGTGGTTTGCTGTTTGTGAATGACCATTTTATGGGGCATTATGGAACAGTGTGAAGATTACCAAGAATAGAATAATAGAATGAAGTGAGCATTCAGACTGTTGTATTGGACAGTTCTAAAGTCAGGGTGAGCAGGAGATGCTCCAAAATGAARAACTGTTTGCTAATGACTGGAACCTGCACTACTTTTCCACCTTTTCTTGTGCAACAATCTTGAAATCTGCCGGTGGGTGAGTAACTTCAACACGCAGTCTCCAGAGGATGTTGCAACTCACTGCTTGGAGGTACCAAACCCATGCAAATATGAATATAGAGAATTGTTTAGGCCGGGGAATGCACTTTTCTTTCTTATTTCCCTTATGTTAATAYCCCTGCCAACAAAAATAGCACTTAAAGCTTCTTAAGTCAGTGTGCCTACCCTATAGGTGCAGCTTTTAATGTCACAACAGCCAACTCTTGTATGTCATCAGCTGTATATAAATTCATATCTGAACTGCCATCTGTAGAGAGTTAGAGATATAGGGGATGATTTTTTGAGACTTACATTTAAAAAAGAAGACCTTAATGTGAGTGGTTTACAAATATTTTACMAACTGTTTTCTCAGCAGCCTAGAGACAGGTAACTAGGGGAGAACTGTCAGAACAGCAGCACCTTCTCCTGTTTGTGGGGGTTTATCACTGTTGACTGAAACTCCTTCCCTTATGCACCCTGTAAAAAAGTCTTGCTAGGACATGAACTCATACCAGAAAGAGTTCARGATGTTGGGATCCTCTGTGATTCTAGGCTGAGTTACCACTAGAAACTGTGAAGGTCTAGTACTGATTTCTAAGCCTTCTTCCAAATGGGAGCTGCCCAGTCTGGGTGCCAGTAAACTGGGAAATGGTGGCTGAAGAGATACACGTCATGTGTGGCTTTCACASAGCCGCTGACCTTCTTGCACGACAAGTGTTTGCAGGAAGGAAAGCTGCTTAATGCACCTTGCRCTTGTTGTAACAGGATGTCCTAGAGTTGTAAGCAACCATGACAAATGCTTGTSCTCACTTCTCTCCTTTCTTTTGTTCTTTAAAATCCATGCTCCTTATAATTTGTCCTCTAGTCCTTTGTTAACAGATTTGTCACCATTGTAATTGCTGAAAACCAAAGATTAGACTTCTATGCCTGTTTTGGGAGGGARGAACATTAGCCCTGTAATCAGGGTTACCTTTTTCGTCATCATATCCAATAATTTTAGGTCATTCTATGGAGGTAATTCCTGAACCTAAGCATAGTCACTTCCATTAGAAGTATCAACTCCTGAGCTGTGCCCRTATCTATTAATGTGTGAGTCTTATCTATGCCAAGAACGCTTTAAATTCAGCTGAAAATATTAAAAGTTACTTCTATGAATCCTGTTATCTTTTGAACTTATATCAGCCTGTGGGAAAAAAAAGACATTAAAAAATCTGTAAAGGGTTGGAGAGTAAAGCATCTGTTTGGGTGAGATGGGTGGATTTGGACAAAGTATTTTTTAAACTTTATTCAAATTCAAAGGACAAATAGATKAGTTATCAAATAGTGGAATTTTGCTGACCTGCCACATGCTTAAGATTTTATAGCCAATGTTGCACCAGATGGATGGGCAGAGAAATGTGCATAGCCCTGRTTGTGGTTGTATGAGACTGCAGATGTTACTTTCTTCCTTTTCTTTTGGCTTTCCTAGCCTGCTTTTTTTGCTATGTTGCCAAGAGAGACCTTCAGAAGCAGTTGGTGTTGACTGTCAGGGGAAGGAAGGTRGTTGCAGTGATTTAATATTAACCTGCTGATGATACCTGAAGGCTTCAGAGATGGTGAACATGAACCAAGAAGGCCGATGGCAGCCTGGCTTGTATCAAAAATAGTGYGGCCAGCAGGACTRGGGCCACRACCTGTAYTCAMYRCTGGTGAGGCTGCACCTCAAATCCTGTGTGCAGCTCTGGATTCTTCAAGAAAGACACYGARGTGCTGGAGCTTGTCTAGAGAAGGACAGGGGAGGGGTGAAGGGTCTGGAGCACARGGCTGAKGAGAAGCAGCTGTGGGAGCTGGGGMTTTYTAGTCAGAAGAAAAGGAGGCTCAGGGGAGACATTATTGCTCTCTACAGCCACATGAAAGGAGGTTGTAGGAGGCAAGGGTTGGTCTCTTCTCCCAAGCAACCAGTGATAGGACAAGATGAAAAGGCTTCGAGTTGCTCCAGGAAAGGCTCAGATTGGAAATTCTTCAGTAGGAAGAATTTCTTCATGGAAAGAGTTGGAACAGACATCCCAGGGAAGTGGTTGAATCACCATTCCCAGAGGTATTTAAAAGACATGTAGATGTGGCAGCTGGGGACATGGTTTAGAGGTGGACTTGGCAGTGATAGGTTAATGGTTGTTCTTGATGGATTKAGAGGCCTTTTCCAATTTAAACTATTCTGTAATCCTATGAGCATATAAGGAGCTATTGGAGGCATCCTCAAAATCATGGTTCTGCCTTCATGCTTGTTTCTCTGGCATGTTTCTTTTACCCAGGGGAAGTGAAATATTTGTATCTGCTATAGTCTCTTAGGTTACTCCTCCTCTCAGGGGCAATAATCCAGTGGGAGGAGAGAGCATTAAATCTATTTCATCCAGTCTGTACTGCAATGTTAAACAATAAATGCTCTTGGTCTTTGAAAGGATAACTACAAAGCAAAATTAAAGGAAATGGGCAAACTCCCTAGCATGGTCAACAAACTGAGAAGTAAAARCTATGTCAGGGCAGAACTCTTAGTTCTGGGAAATAGGGAAACAAGGAGGAGCTTCTGAATCTGATAATAAGCTGGATTTTTATATTTAACTTGACTGCTGTTCTTACTCAAGAACTCTCATTTGAAACTGTTTATAAGCTGTGAGCTTGCTAASTAACCACTGTTTTTCACCTAGGCCTAAATAAAATTGCAAGGTGAAGGTAAAGTTTCACACGTCCCTGCAAAGGCCCCTGTGTAGGCCGAACTAGTGCTGCTTCAGAGGCTTTGTAGAGCAGAGCARTTCAGAAGGATGTGCTTAACTCCAAGTTTCAAAAGAGCTGTAAGTTCTGGAAACAATGAACTTCTCTTTCCTAAGAGAAGTAACTGCTTCTCTGTGCCTCTTTTGAAGGCAGTCTCCCRTGGTTATTTAAAAAAAGCCCCAACACCCAACATACAGACATACACAAACAGACAAATGTTCTAGGAGATGCCTGGGAAGAATATATCCAAAAGCAATTTTAATACTTATATTGTCAAGTAAGAGGGAATATGAGTGTAAATAGTTTGTATCTGGATCAAATTATGTAACATTACTTGAGACTGAAGACATTGGAGAGTTTGAATCCAGAGCATGCTGTGTGACTATGTTTCTGTGCAGTGTCCCTTATCTTTTGAAGCTCCCAATTTTATTTGTAACACTTCCAACTAACTTTCCTGGTTGTGTACTAGCGGTATTAATTATGATTGAGGAGAGAATTCTAGGAAACCATCTTCATTGTCTCAACTCGCATTTTATTTGGAAGTTTTGTCAGCTGCAAACCTCCTTTTGCTGTCTGAAGGTCATATATGATGCACAGAATGAAATACATTTTATCAGTTGGTAGAGATTTTTAGCTTCTTGCAGCTGTTCTTGCTGATAGCTGTTTTTTAGCTGTTCTTGCTGATAGCTGTTGCAGTCAAAAGCTATCTAGGCTGGTTTAGTGAATATCTAGTGCTAGTTGATTCTGGTTTATGCCATTGGCTGGTTTCTAAATATTGTGTGAGTGTTTGACACGCTTGGGAGAAGGTTCTTAGAAATTGGGATACACAGAAACTGTGGTAATGCGTGATAACTGATTATGGTACACCAGATTTTAGGACCCTCATGCTGATAATTAAATAGCAAGTTTGTGAAGTGGCCTTGCATTAGTCTGGTTCAGATACTTGTACACTTCTAAGTGCTATTTTAATGAGCTTTCACAAGAGGGCAGAGTAGAATTTGCTCCAGGAATTGTGGTTGATGGGAGACTTAGCACATCTAGAAATAAGGCAGCTCAGATTCCTTTGGTTTTAGGACAGCATGGGCTGTATCATTCATGGTTTCCCTCTGTATTGCATCCATCCTGGGTGCTGTGTGGTTTATGAGTTGCTTCTTCCTAAAGGAGAGTGAGTCCCAGGGAGAGCCACAGCCTCTCTGGAGTGTCCTGCCTCCCTGAGGAGGATGCTGGAGCGTGGAGATCTGCAAACATGCCCCCTGTACCACATCTGCCAATTTTTCCTTCTTGGACATAACTAAAACAATCTCATATGTTTTGTTAGCACAAAAATATTTTCATTATTAGCACAAGATAATGCTGCAGCACAGATAAATGAGCTCTCTGTAGWATCGCTGTAGAGACGATACTGCTTGACAGCAAAAAGGTTTCCATGCAATRTGTTGAGGTGCAGTAAAGTATGACCAAGAAAGCTACTGGAAAAGGAAATACTGTGTATCTCAAGCTTTATGAATCTGTTACTATGTTCAACAATTTATTTATTACAGTTACCACACTCATACCCAGAACCATCATCCTTGTTGAAACAGTTTAGAGTTCACAAATAAAACTACCTCTTCTCGCCTCCTTTCTTTATTAAAGGACAAACTGAGTTGTTTTTCTTTTTCCCCGGAGCATCTCAGAAGTGTAGTTTCACTTCTTAGTTGTACCCCAGTACTGTGTATTCCAGCAGTTTAGCTAAAAGAGCTGCTTCTGATCTTTCATAACTCATTGAGGACTCTTTTGGCAGTTTATCCTGTACAATTCAGTAGTAGTTCAATCAATGCAAGTCAGTTGGCATTTAGCATTATAATATTCTCTGTATTTGAAGATTTTAACCTTTTTTTTTTTTTTCCTTCCTCCTTCAGATTGACCCCAAGGATTACACTTTCTCTGGACTTAAGGATGAAACAGTGGGTCGACTGCCTGGAAAAGTAGCTGGGCAACAATTTGTCATTCAGGATTGCGAGAACTGTAAAATCTACATATTTGACCATTCTGCTACAATCACTATTGATGACTGTGTAAATTGCCAAATCTTTTTAGGACCAATAAAAGGCAGCGTGTTCTTCCGTGACTGCAAAGATTGTAAGTGCGTAGTTGCCTGCCAACAGTTCCGCACACGGGACTGCAAAAAGCTGGAGGTGTTCTTGTGCTGTGCCACCCAGCCCATTATCGAGTCCTCCACAGGTATGAAATTTGGATGTTTCCAGTACTATTATCCTGAGCTTGCTTTACAATTTAAAGATGCTGGTCTGAGTATCTTCAATAACACATGGAGCAACATCCATGACTTTACCCCTGTGTCTGGAGAAAATAAYTGGGGCCTTTTGCCTGAAACTGCTGTAGTCCAGGATTATGTTCCTCTGCCCAGCTCTGAGGAGCTGAAAGCTGTCAGGATTTCTACTGAAGCTACAAAGAGCATAATACCAGTAACTCGAGGACGGAGACAGAAAAGCAGCGATGAATCGTGTTTGGTTGTGTTTTTTGCYGGTGACTACACAACTGCAAATGCCAGGAAGTTAATTGATGAGGTAAGCAACCTTTGTCTTCATTCAGGTTTTTCAATTCTTAACTGAACTTTCCTCTGAACAGCCTCTGATGCTCCCTGAAGGGTGACTATAGAGGCTTTGTGTGTCTACTGACCATACTGATCAACTGCACTGTTTAAAACCTTAAAGCAAGATAGGAGACTGAATCTCATTTGATCAGTCAGTTGTTTTACAGCTGACATCCTGTGAGTGGCACATCTGTCCTCTAACAGTTCTGGTATATTTTTCCATCATAGCACAGCAAAGTGATGCGCTGAAGAAAATGTGTAGTTGATCTGATGAACTTGGTCAAATATAGAGTGATTGATAGTGCTTGTAAAAGGGATGTAGCTATTAACTTGTTATCTTGTTACCCTGACAGTCTCAGTTAACAAAAGCCTGTCCTGAAAGTTTTTCCAGTACCAACAGAGAGTCTAGAAAAAAATAATGTGTTAAAATGTGTCCCCTGTGTCATCCTGTGATATTTTTTTTTTTTCCTGAAAGAGGCAGTGAGTGTTTGTTGTGGCTGGTCAGCTGCCTTCTTCAATGATTTAAATAGCTTTTTTATTGGTTGGTGGGGTTTTAGTATTCTTTAATTTTTTTTTAAAATCCAGAGACAGCAGCTTCCAAGTTTGGCTGAGTTTGTGCTTTCAAAAACCTGGGAGTGACTTGCTGCTTACAGCACCCTGAAGTGCCAGGGGTGTCACAGACCAGAGCCAATAATCATGGGCTACAGCATCTGAGAGTGCATCTGCAAAAGCAGATCACAGTGTTGTATGATTGACTAAACATCTGGTGGAGCTCTTTCCCTTGGGTTTTTATCTGCAAGGAAATAAAGCTGTAGGGTGTTTTCCTTGCCTCTCCACTGCTCAGYTGGACTTTTATGGAACTGAGCTATGGACAATTACTTGGGTGAAATGGCATAATGATATGGGGTTTTTTTTTTTCTGACAAAAGAATATCTACAGAAAAGAGGGTAATTGATGTGTGCCCTGCTAATTACTAGTTATTTAGTAATTAGAGTTAAGAAAATGCTAGAAGACTAGTTAGTGAGTTTCTGTGGAAATCTAACTGCTCTGTAGATTAACAGATGTTTTGGCACTAAAAATGTGTTTGCTCCTTTCCCAGTGCTTTTAGTTTCATGTTAATTAGATTGGAGTAAAAATTGTGGAGGTGGGGCAGGGATGTGTACCTAAATTTTCCGAAGTTTTTAACTATTGTTCCAAAATTGAAAACTTCAGCAGTGGATAGATGAGAGTTCRAGCTAACACTTGACTGAGCTATTGCAGACTGAAGAGAGTTAACTGTTTGTCTCGAGATGCTGAATGCCTTTAACTCCCATTGGTTTCTGCTCATGAGGGACTGTGGGGAAAAACACGTAACCCTGGGCCCTAATATGGAACAAAAACATTCACATTTATTCCTCTAGGTGCACTAGGGCAGAGAAGAAAATCTGGAGGAATGAAATGAAAATAAACAGAAGTGTAGAAAAAGCAAATGGTCTCTGAAAGAGCAAGAAGGGTCCCTTTGCTCTGTGACTTAATGTGTATGGGAAAAATGGATCTATTACAGTGTAATCTGAATACTCAAGTTGAGCTCTGCCTTGGAAGCATTTTTAACATGAGTTTTTTTCTCTGTTAACAGATGACAAGTAAAGGCTTTCATCTGGTACAGACTAAAGAAGTCTTAATGAAGGCAGAGGATGGTCACAGAGTTTTCAATCAGTGTGCATCAGAATTCATTCCACTGCTGGAAAAAGGTGAGTTTGCATTTTTTTCTCCACTTGATATGGAAATCTGTCACCAGAGAGTTCTGGAGAAGAGGAATGAAGGAGAAATTTGTGTTTCAAGGGCATGGTGTTGAGATGAGTTTCAGAAACCTCARTGAGGCCCTAAACCAGCCAAAAACTCCTGAAGGCATCAGAAATAAGTTATTCCACATGTATTTTGTGTTTCTGCTCCCCCTCTAGTGGTCCAACTGCATAGCTCAGGAGCAGTGGCACATGCAGATCTGCCTGTAGTGGTCAAAAGAAGCTCRTGCTTTTAGACTATTTGTGACTTGTCACCAATGCTGCTCAACCACTGAGCAGTTCAGAGCTGCTGTATAAATATTTAAGCAAATTAGTGTAGATGTGTATAAAGCAGATAAGTGTTTGATTTTCTTGTTTATAACTGGTGTATTGTCAGAGTATTTCAAATATTCTGTTGATATAACTGCAGTTGGGTTTTGTCTCCTCTTGCAGAGGTACTGACATTTTTGTYATCTGTTACATGCTAAAGCTCAATATACATTCCCAAACTTAGTAGCAACATATGGGTTTTTCATGGTGACATGAAAGGACTGTGATGTTCATTGCAAGAACAGAAGAAGTCATTGCACTTGTAAAATGATAGYGTAGTTTGTGGGTTAAATTGCAGTGATATGGGAAGAAATACCATRTTCAGAATGAAACCAGAGAAAGCAGAGCTGCAAACAGTGGGTGAGAACAAATCTAAAAATCAGGCAGGCAKTTCACTATCTTGGGACTGAGGCAAAAATGCCTGAATGACTCAGCCCCACTCCAGATGTCTCTGAAATGGCTCACTATTTGAGCAGTATAGTCTGACTCACTTCCATGATGCCTTGCACTCCTTAGCATTTTTGTGCTATTGCTGCCTTTCAAGAAGTAAAACTGGAATCTTGCCAAAATCTCTACAAAAAACATGAGCATGGAATTGCAGATAACACTGTCCCTTTTATAATATGTTTAAGTGTTTTTAATTCTTTATCTGCTGTTATGGGTCTGCTCAAGCAAAAAAAAAAAAGCTTCTTGCAGGCTTCACAATTCCCTATGGGATGAGAAATCTGTTTCCATGCCAAGCTTAAAAGTCATATTGATTTTAGATGAAACTATTTTCTAGGTCCAGTGGTTGCTTTGGAGTTCAATGGAGATGGCGCTGTGGAACAATGTCGAAGTACTATAAATGAAGTTTTCAGTGGGACCAAGGTAAGCTGCTGCATTGCTTTATCCACAGCAAGTATTACAGAATGGCTGAACTATTTTATAATCAACATATAGTGTTGACACACTACATAATCTTTTTAGGTTCATGGGTAGTAAAATTGGAATATCCTTTTGTTTTGGTGTTTTTTGTACTAAAAACCCAAGTTACTTGTTGGCGACAAGAAAATTGTCCTAGCAAAGAGAGTACTGAATCCCCATATCCACTGAAGAATATAAGATTTCTACTTAAAACTGTTATTTCACATAATAATAGCAAAATCAAGTTCTATAAATATAGTATAAAAATATTTCACTTCAAGTCTTGGATTTAGCCACTGAGCTTTGTGGTGTCCTGTCTGTTAAACCATGACAAAGATAATATGACAGGATTTCAACTTTTTTCCATATTTACCTTTGCTCTGTAGGAAACTGCTGAATGCCTTCGTTCAAAGGCAGTTTTCTCTTCTGTCAGCTTGTTTCACTTTAGCTTCCTTACACCACCCCTCCTCTTTCCTTGCTGTTTCCTTTCTCTGAATGGCAATGCTTTCGATAAAATTTCTGGGAACATTTAGAGCACTCCTGATAGGGGAATGTGACAAACCCTTTGCTTTTAGGCACCTGTTCAAAGAAGACTAGAATGTCTTTGAGACATAGCATCCATACAGCTCCTTGCTGTCTTTCAGTTCCTTTCAAAAGACTTACTTTGAAGTAGGCTGCCCAGTTTCTGGAACACACTTACCTCGTAACAAGTCATCTAATTTAATTTTTTGATTGAGTCTATTGCTTGCATGTTGAGATTGGTGAGCAGCCACAATGCTCTCTGTTACACTCAACTGTTTGGGTATTGCCTAAGGTAATTGTTGTTGATCTGCTGAAAGCCTTCAAAGGTGACTGTCCTAGAGCTTGGACTTTCACATACATATATAAATTTTGAAAAATGTAGATGTAATTAAAGTTATTAAAAAAAAATCATTGCTTCTCCAGCAGATGACTAAGTTTTTTTTTGAGGGTAATATAGCACAAGGAAGTCTTTCTTAGAAACTGTGCCTTTCTGTTAAAGGAAAGTAGTAGTATAAGGATTTTGTGTATTTATTTTTCCCCTGCTCTCATGGAGAGAGTTGACTTTACCAAGCAAAATATATCTAAATAGACACTAACTGAAGCTGTGAACCCTGAATAATGAAGTCCCAAACTCCTGATCAGCAGAAGGCAAAGGTTAATGCAGCTAGCATGTGTGCTAGGAAAGGGTGATGGTAACGAATGGTGGGTGCATCAGGGCTTTCAATTCAGAGAGAATTGTAGGACTGTTCTATCATACAATGGGAACCGACAGAGAGTTGTGTCTCTCATGAAATGCAAAACTGAAAATAAGCATTACTGATTCCAAATGAGCAAAGACTGCTTTCACTGAYGCATAACTATTTTTTTGTTTAACAAAACAGGTTTTTGTATCAGAAAGCAAAGCATCAGCATCTCAAGATGTAGACAATTTCTACAACTTTGCTGACATGCAGATGGGAATGTGAAGTTTAGCATGAAGGTGCTCACGTTCACTTTGTTTCAGCACTTGGATGTCACTTGGCTTGAATATCGCAGTAGTTTTGTCATTTAGTTTTGTATTTCTCATATATCCCTTTTATAAAGCCACTGGTGGTTTTAATACCATATTATCTGAACTGGAGTACACACATAGCTCCCCATGTGCATTGTGTTTGAAACTTAAATGTAGCTCCAAAAACAATTGAACTTTTCTACTAACTTTTTTACAGTGATTTCTAAACATCTATCGACACTTGAATGTTTCATGACAATATCTAATGGTTATACATATTTTAAAAGTGCAATGCTGATCCAAGTTTGTTGCAGTAGTAATTGTTATCTTTAACTCAGATACATTGTTTAGGAAACTTGCCCTTYAGAATTTTCCCATAAGCAAATTTGTCTTCACTGGGGGTCTAGGAAGGAAGCTGTAGTCGTTGGCTTTTTCTGAAAGCTTAGTCTGAAATGAATTGTCCTTGCAGTATGCTTTCAAAAGCTGTTTGTGACTTTGGCTTACTCTGCTTCAGCACTTTTTTTGAATAAAGTTTTTTGCAGTAGCATTTATGGTGACCATTGTCACGACAGCATTCTGGTAAGAGAGCACTTGCCAGGCTTTTCTGCTTTGAGGTGAATCCTGAGCATGAGTTCTCTGCTGAAGCTACTCTAAGGTCTGCTCAGGTTCTTTGGCAATACAGCTGCCTCTGGCATTCCCAAGTCACACATAGCATATACATGAGGTTTCTTTGCGCTAGGAGCAATAAACCTCTGGCATGTTGTTGTTTGCTAGAAGGGTCATACAGCAGCCAGTAGTCAGAGAAGGATTTTGATGGCATTAAAAACCCCTTCCTTGCTAGACCCCAGGAGAAGGCTTTTATATTCAGAAGTAGTACAGAAAGTGCTGTAAAGTGCTATACGCTGCCATAGGGTTTATTTTGTTTTAATTCTAAAAAAAAAACTGAAGAAGTGCTACCAGCATTTTGTGAGATGCACTTGGATAGCGTTCAGTAATAATGCTTATTGCTAAATATTGCATATTAGAATGCAAATCTATATGGGTATTAAATAAATGATTGATTTATTTTTGCATATTGAATCCCTTACTGATTTTTCTACATGAACTTAAAGCTTATGTCCAGGTTTACAAGACCTCTGTAATACTTGAACCAATTGTGCATGCAGGCACACAAAACCAAATTTCACAATTAAAACAGTGGCTTGCAGGTTGCATAGCCTTTGCAATTCATTGAATGGGTTGGGGCTKTGTTGAGGTGCTAAAGCAATTTCCTCACTATGGTCATCTGTCAAAAGGGAAGATCTTGAAAATCTTAACTGAAAATGAGTCTTGACTGATCAGTTTCACAGCTCTGGAGCTCCAAAGTGGGTGGCTAAAAACCCATCTTTAATTATTTGGAATTAGCACATGAAAGAATCCATTCTTCTGAAATTCATAATTTTGTAATGCACAAGAGAGAGTCTGAACTGTCATTTTATCGCCACTGGGCAAATGATTGCCATTGGTTCAAACTAGAGAATATGTCCTTAGGACCTCTTGTTGCAGTTATGCATAGAATAAATAAGAAAGAGTATCTCCTGAACAAACTAAACCACTGGTGTACTGAAGGTAAAAAAGTTGCCACTTCTCTCAAATGCTTTTGTTTGACAAAGTGAAAGAAAAACAAGCCACCACCAGAATCCAACTGATAGCCGAAATTACGACTTATTTGCACTTAGCAAGCCAGGATTTTTAATATGTGTGAGGTGAGGCTCTGAAAAGAACTAAAAATTTTATCTTGCTCTCCAAAGTACTAGCACAACTCACCAGTCAGCATTTACAGGAATTAATCTAGACATCTACAGTAATTTTTTTTTTTTTTGTATGGAGAGTACATTGAAATTATGTAATGTACTTCGGAGCTGTCATTGTGTGATTTATATCAGCAGTGCATATATTGGACTACCTTGGTCTCTAAACTTTTTACATGTAATATTTTCAAAGTTTTATGCTGACACATGATTATGTGTATATTTATAGCTTATTTTTTGTATCATCAACCTGCTCTGGAAACAAAGTGCTAAATGGACTTTTGTGACCACTTTTGCTGGAGGACAGGATGATTAATTGAAAATTAATCTAGTCTTGAAACAGTGGAATGACTTCTGCATGCTGGGAAACAGCAGTGTTGCTTTTTTTTTTTTTCCCCAATATGGATAGTATGTTTACCGACATCAAGAATTTTTAATAAAAMATCCCTAAATAATGAAGGAATTTCTCAATCCAATTATTTATCTTTCAATTTGCATTTCTTGCTAACATGTGTTAAGAACACTTCTAGTTGAAGAGTCAGGAATTCTTTGCATGACAGAATGGTACATCTTTCATGTATTCTTTGTACATTTTTTGTGTAGCTTTTAATGTAATTTGTATTACACTGTGAATGTGATTCATAATAAACATTTTAAATATTTAAACTCTGGATTCTGAATACTTTTGTAAAATTACAGCATCTTGAAAAACATAATTACATTAGGTATTAAAGCTGATTTCTATGTTGAAACAGGCATATATCTTGAAATAGATAGAGCTAATAGGAAATAAGCATTAACTCTCTAGTCATTCATTCTCTGTAAAAGGTGATTTTTTGACAGCAAGAATTTTTCTCAGGCAGAGATTGTGCTGGTTATAGTAATAAAATTGTTAGTTTAGAAAGCAGGTCCATTTGATATCCAAAAACCAGTAAAAAACACCTGAAAATAGGTAAACATTTAATAAATTTCCAAGTGTGGCTTTAAACTGGTCAGAAATGTGACTCTTCCAAGTAGAGATAGGCCAGGGTAACTCTCACTAAGCATAAAAGTTTGGAAAGAGTATAAAATATTGTATCAATATAATTATCATTTGAAAATATTGAGTGAAATTGTGAAACTTTAAGGTATCAAAACCTCTGTTTTACCCTTAACTGTTATTGTACAATGTTACAGTTTAAAAACCATCTTGTTACTCCAGTTGGATCCAAGTTGCCTAATAACCCTATTTTATGTAGTGTCTTAGTCATAGCAAAGCTGTCCTAAAGTATTTTCACCATTTTTACCAATCAGTCCTCAAATAATAACATGCACAAGTGTCTGTGCCCCAGTTGCTAGAAGATCACTAGCTTTTGTCATATCTAATATACAGGCTTTTTTTGCATGACTTTAATCCACATACCAGGCTGCACTTACATAACTTGGACAGATTTTTTTTTCGATTTCATAAAGCAGCCTTAACCTTTTAATACAAAGTATATGTTTAAGTAATTCTGACTAATAAGGGAAAAAAAAGTTTTACTGATTTAAACATGAGTAAAAACTCTGTAGCTGAATATTTTCTCATATAATTCTGGCTTTTAAGTATTTAGGCTTTATTCATACAGAATTCAGCTTTCTGCACACATTTATATTAGCATTGATAATAATAGCTTCTAGAAAATGTTGATTTCACAGGCTGTTTCCCTAAAAATTTAATGCAGGACGCAGTGAAATGAATCTTTTAAGACCTGTGAGCAGCCTGGTTGCCTGCCTGATTAGTTCTAAACTGTAGGTCTTTTGCTATCAAGTTCCTTGTTGACTCATGGGACTTTTGTGGCATTTCTTTTTTTTTTTAATTAATGAGTAAGCCTTCTGAATCCACAAGAGTGACATAAGTTTTTAGAGGTCTGCAGGAACAGCTCTTTCAAGGCACGTTTAAATCTTACCTAAAACATGTAAATTCTAGGCCCACAGTTTCAAAAGCTATAAATAAGTGCCGATTGTAAGTATTGTCTCTAGCATCCATGCATTTGAGTGGGATGGTGCAACTGGCTGTAGCACTTCCTGAAGCTGTGTGCTGTAGTACCGCATTTTGCTGCAGTAGCAGCAGTTAGCTCTGGGAGCCCACCTCGTTCCTTGCGCATTGATTGCAGAGTGTGCAGTATGAGCTATAGTAATTTGCTGAGGACAACAATTTCTGGAAAATAATCATTTGCTGTATTGCCAACCTGGAGGTTTTTCTTAAAGCTGTCTAGTCTGAGCTCTGTCTCTCAAAACAACCATCTACATATGGCATAACTTTGCAAACATCAAACCTGCTAGAAGCACGAGGTACAGGAGGATTAACTGGATTCCTGGAAATCACAGAGCATTAACACTCCAGGCATTAATATCTTGGTGTCTAGTTTGATACAAAAATGCTTTTTACTGCTTTCATCTCTTCAGAATGCCTGGTTGCCATAAGACTGTTTCTGGTAATGTTTGTGGTCACAGTGTCTTCCTGATGCACATGTAGTCATCACTGCTTCTGAGTAAGAGAGAAGAAAAGAGGGGGAAGTGAGACAAGCTTTTAAAAGAGCTCTGAAGTTTTSTGAGTACATACAGAAAAATGTACAACTGTTCATTCCTTCTACTTTTTTTTAATGCATCTAATGATAATCCCCAGCTATGATACTCATGGCCAGAGTATCTGAGTACTTTCCCAGAATGTATATTAAGCAATGTGAGCAGCATCTGTCAAGTACAAGTCAATCTCTTTCCAATTGCTCAAGGCTTTCAAATTGCCAGTGCTGCAAGGGTCTGGGAGATCTTTCAAATACGTGTGGATTTCACTCATATCCTRTTGCTAAAACAGCTGTAGGAAGTTTTTCCCTCAAATAACGTGTAAAGTTGATAAATAGGAAATTACAGTGATGTTAAAAGGCTCTTGTAGAGTGTTTTCTGATGGTCCTAAACTGAAAAGGCTGAAAGCAATGTGCTATTATATGTTCTATCCAAATGATGAGGCTAAATTTAAGGCAAAGCACCTCTGCAGTACTGCAGTACTGAGAGCTCAAAGGACTGTGTGTCGATGACAGTGGTATGTATCTCTGCTTTTCCAACTTCATTTTATCACAAGTATTGTAGTAGTGAAGTCACAGTTCATAGAGCCATGTGAGAATCCACATTTTTATTTTTAGATACCTTTTGTCATAGGGAAGAAAACTKGAAAAGCTTGGGTTTGTTTTTGGTTTATCTTTTTTTTTTTCTGTTTAAACCATTAAACTCATGCRTCTCAAAAATAAAAATAAAATAATTTAAAACTTTTGGGGAATAGGGAAAGGTGGAGTGAGCACAGAATTGTGATTTCTGAGCACTGAAGGAAGCTGCAGCCCTGCTCTCCTTTACTTACACGGATGCTGTCTGCTGTGGTGAGATTTTCCCCARACTGTATGTACATCATCAGAAAGGCAGCTAACTTTCCGGGTCTTTTAGGCAACTTTATTTCCTCACTAATAGAAGCATAATATGCATTCTTTGATTCTTTTTTTGTTAGGTACTTACTTCCATGCATTTAAGGTACATAGCTATAATACTAATTGGTTTTGAAAGCTACTGGCAGCCCTCTCCATTCTGTGCTACTTTCTTAGAAGGAAAAAGATAAATCAAAGATCTCACTAAGCACAAAACTTTGAACTTGTCAGATCCTGGGAAGTGAAGCTTAAGCGAGTAAATGGTTCATGATTGTGGAATAACTTTTTTTTTTTCTTTTTGGAATGTGCTGATCTTTTTATGATGGAGATCTTCCCCCCAATTTCTGAAGTACCTCCATAAAAAAAAAAAAAAAAAAAAAAAAAAAAAAAAAAAAAAAAACAAAACACCAAAACCAAAACACTTCAGGGGCTTTTTTATGGGGTCCTGGAGATAAAATGGAAGGGCTGTCAAAAGATGCTGAGGGCATCTTTTGATAGCTGCCCCAACAAGTGCTAAAGGATTGGATTCAGTGTTTAAAGACTATCTTTTGAAGCTCTGAGTGCTCTTTGCTTCTATTTCTACAAGTGAATATCAGAAACAATTTTMGTCACAAGGGTTTAAAGATCATCCTTATTTGAGGTTCTGCTTTGCATTTTTTTCCACAGAAGAATGAAAGTTTCTCCACGGTCATAATTAACGCTCTTGTTTGCAGGTGTGTGTTTGTGCTTTATAGTAACAGTTAAATGATTTTGCTCACTGTGAAAGTAAAATAAAGSAGTTAAGCTTTTCTGCTTCTTGCTGTTAACTGCCAGTGCTTGCTCTCGTTTCAAGGATGTTGTATCMAGGTTTCATCAATGGTATCTGCTCTGTTGATGAAGGGAGTTTTACGCAGTATCTACACATTTCAAAGAAAAGTGGTATAGCAGGCTTTGGTATCCATGTACTTCTTTTATCAGTCAACTAGAATTGCTGGCCATGGAGGCTTCTGTGTGCAGGCTGGGAATGCCATGAAGACTTGGAGGTAAGTGGTTTGAATTAACCTACCAGACCTTTCCAATGTTTATTTCTGCCAGCTACTCCTCTGTTACATACTTGTTGTGTTTTGCTTCTCTGGCATCTGATCTATGATAGCAGATGCAGTAGAAAAAAAATACTTGTTTTTGTTGCTGAAACTCACTGGAGCACTTCTAGGTATTTCAGTTGGAGGTGCTTCTTTTGTGGCTCAGATCCATGTTAAAATCTACACRACTATCTTCTCAAATGTTCAACACTACTTTGGTGTAATTTTCTTAATATCCTAATATACCATGCAGCTTTTGTACAGCTGAATAAGGACTTGGTTCAGCTTGGGCATGGTATATTGGCATACCTTGTTTAACCCTGATCATACCTCTTCTCGTTTCCAGATCATTCTGCCCTTGGGAAGACTTCCTGTTTGTGCTACATTTTATCAATATGTTAACATCTGGCTTTGTAAATTCCTTATATTCTCTAGGTGCATCAGAGAATCTGTACTTCATCCTTTGGAGAATGTAGAAACTTTAAAAAGAACAAAAGTGTACAAATTGCTTCCTATTTATTCATCTTTCTTGGTGTTCCTGTAGAAATACACAGTGAATGTAAAGCATTTATTGAAATTTGTAGCCCCACAGACTTTCTGACATGGGTTTTCTTATGTCATTTATCCTTTGGCTATGAGYCCACCATGTACAGCTGTGGATTTACTATAGAATTAGAGGCTTGGATGTCATCTTCTCCTAAAATGTGACAGCCAGTGTAGGGAGGTGTGTGTGATTCCATTCATGGGAAATGAAGATAGCTGCTAAACACTTTTCCTGGATTGGGGATTGGGCTGCATCTGCTCMTGATGAGGTCATTCATATGTAAAGTAATCTGGCAGAAAACTTCTCATAGGGATGTTTCCTTCACTGATGGGAATATACATTCTTTACTGTCCTTCAGAATTATGGATACTTTAAACACTATATATGTGTATAYGTGTGTATATATGTATATGTACATATATACACACACTCTACTAATCAGGTTTAGTGGACACATAAAAAATAGAATTCCTAATGAAGATATTGGTACTTGAGAATGTTTTTTGTTTAGTTTGGCTCAGACTTTTATTTCTCTATGATTAGAAAACAGGTCTTTAGAACATGAACTTGGTTTTATCACTCTGAATTCTCTTCATTTTGGACTTCAAATCTCTTGTCTAAAATTCARTATTGCTTGGCCCACCTGGTTCGATATAAAGGATTGCACAAGTGGCGGTAGTAGGGGCAGCATTCTTGGTGTTTTACTCGATATTGTGTTTTTCTGAAGCTGCTCTGAGTGCTTTTCTGGCAGRTAAATGAACAGAAGGCAAATGAGTTGATTGCTGGTGTGTGATGGAAATCATACTTGTCAGCATTGCTGTCTAGCTGTGGTCTAACTGCATTTGTAGAAAGCTATGCCTCATAATACACWCAGGAATATTAACCAGTTATTCAAAAGAAAAAAGATGAGAGTTTCCATAGCCCTTCCATGTCTCAGTTACTGTGTGTATGGAGAAATGGGGTTGCAGCAGCTGAAGGATGATCTGCTAAGACTGTTTGCAGCATTCCCTCTGGTAAGGAAGGCAAAAGGGGTTTCCAGAGTGTTTGACGCAAGTGATGCTTGGTAATAGCAGTATGGGAAATGAGTGTGGGTGTGGGGCGTAACAACGGAGGAGGTTTGCTGAATTTTTGCCGTTGTTTCCTTTATTCTGATGCTTCCTGCTGTGCTTTCTGTCTAATGTTATTTCAATGTCATGGGCTGAATGATTAACACTGATAGCTGGCTAAAAGCTGCCCTAAGGTAAACTTTATGCTCATTATTTTACAAATTGTGCTAGTTCGGAAATACGTTCTTAGTTTAATGCTGGACTGGGCTGAGATGGGTGCTCTGTGCCCTCAAGAAGGTGCTGGAAGGTATGAGGGATATGGTGAGGTGCCTGGCCACCTCTGTCCCTGCCACCAGCCGTGCAGTCCAAGCTGAGTCTCAGTAGCCAGTGGCTTCATGGATGCAGAACAGGTATTGCCCCTCGGCCCTGAACTGGCACCTCAAAGGGTAAATTAACACCCAGGAGTGGCAGGAGCCAGCTCCTGTCTCTCAAGTGGTTTCAAGAATGGTCCTCTCCCTTCAACCCTGACATTCACTGGAAAGGCTGAGACWGTGGCCTTGCCCTCCAGCCCCTTCAGAGAATCACAGAATCAATTAGGCTGGAAAGATCCCTGGTAACATCGAGTCCAACCTATAACCAAACACCACTCTGTCAACTAGACCATGCCAGCGAGTGTCACATCCAGTCTTTCCTTAAACACCTGTAGAGACGGTGACTCCTCCGTCACCGTCTCTACACCTCCCTGGGCAGCCCACTCCAATATCTAATCGCCCTATGAAACAATTCTTCCTCATGTCCGACCTAAACCTGCCCCGTCATAGTTTTAGACTATGCTCTCTTGTTCTGTAGCTGGTTTCTTGGGAGAAGAGGCCGAGCCCCACCTGGCCGCAACCCCCTTTCAGGAGGTTGTAGAGAGTCGTAAGGTCACGCCTGAGCCTCCTCTTCTCCGGGCTGAACAAGCCCAGCTCCCTCAGCCGCTGCTCACAGGACATGCGCTCCACACCTTCAATAGACACTTGGCCCTTCTTCCTTCCCCCGGCCGCTTCCCGCTCCYCTCCGGGCGGGGGGCGGCTCTGCCGGCGCAGCTGGCAGGAAGGCCCGGCGCGGGCAGGGAGGGAAGGGGAAGAGGCGGGGCCTGGAGCCCAGCAGTGTCAATAATACAATAGGGCTCTTGTGCGGCCTCCGCCGCCGCCAGAGGAGGAGCGGGCCGGGCTGCGGGCGCGCCGAGCAGCCGGCACGCAGGGCGGGAGCCGCCGCCGGCCACGGGCCCGGGCGGGCGGGCGGGTGGGGGCGATGCGCGCCGGCGCGGGACGGCACCAGCAGCACCCGCAGCGGGAGCCGCCGCCGCGGCGGGAGCGCCAGCCCTGACGGCCGCGGCCGCCCACGCCAGCGAGCAGGGCAGCAGGAGGCGGCGGCGCGCCGGGCCGGGCCGGCGGCGGGAGGTGAGCGCGGCCCGGGCTGCCCGCATGGAGGCGGGGCGGGGGGCGGGCGCAGGGGCCGCCGCGCCGGGCCTGTGCGGGGGAGGCGCCGGGCCTGCGGCGGCGGCGTTTGGCGCCAAGGCCGGGCAGGAGGGAGGAGGAGGAAGCGGCGGCGAGCGCGGGGAGGCGGCGGGCGCTGCGGGTACGTGGGGCGCCGGCGGAGAACGCGCGGAGCCGCGCCGGGGGCGGCGGGCGGGGAGAGCGGCGGGCAGCCCGTCCGGCGTGGGCGCTGCGGCCCCGGCCGCGTCCGGAGGGAAAAGTTGCGGCGGCTCCGGAGCCGGGCGGGCGCTGCGCCCGCGGTGGGCGGCAGGGGCTGGGCGGCCCCCGGCCAAGCGCCCTTTTGTTCGCCGCAGCCCGGAGAGGCGGCGACCCGGCGGTGCCCGAGCCGGCAGGGCCCTGCGGAGCGCGGCTGGGCGTGGCTGGCGGGCGGGCAGACAGACAGACAGACAGACAGACAGCCGGGCGCTTGTCCGCCGCCGAGCACCGCTCCGCCGGTATGTCGAGGAACTTGCTAGAACTGAGTTTGACAATGAAGCGCTAGCGCAGCCCTCCCGCGCTGCCGGCCGCGCCGCCAAGGTAAGTTTTTGCCTGAGCGGCGGGTGCGGATGGCGCCCCAGTGCCCCCTGTGCCTGTAGGGAGAGGAGCGGGAAGGTCCCGACTTCAGTTCTCCAAATCACACCTTCCTCTCTCGCGTGGTATTTGCTCTAATGCTGTTCGTCTTTCTGCAAAGGCATGTCTTCGTCCTCCGGATGATCCGCGACCGGTAATGGTTAGCGGCCGGGGATGTAGCAAAAGTAACACTTGCAAATAATAAGGGRGAATGGGAGAATTTGGTACAGGGCGCCGTGAAATACATCTTAACAGGCAAATAAACGTCACTTTCCCCCATCTTTTAACTAGTGTTATTTTCTAAAAAGCATTTATAGTTATTTGAAGACTTCGCAAGCTATTGTTTGCAAATTGTTATAATGAGTAGCTATGTATTTTTACTAAAATATCACTGAATTTGTGCTGTACTTCAAACCCTATGGGKTTTTTTTTTCATGTTCACAAGAAAAGGGATGCTGAAGACAATATCTAGTCGTGATGAGAAAACCTTCAATTACTGTACACTAGATACTTGAAAGCTGTTGTGCCTCACTGTTAATGTAAAAGAGCCTTTGCACTAAAACTGAAAGAGTAAGAGAAAGKTGTTTTGTCCTGGTGCTTGCAAGATGTTTAATCAGCAGCCGACTTTTTGCATCAGGTTGGTGGTTGTTATGGGGTGTTCTGTAGAGCATCTCCAGCACACCTGCTCATCTGTATGCAGTGACACGGCATCTTAGTGATGGTTAGAGAGTTAGCTTCAAAATGCAAGTGCCAGATGGGCTTAGGCTGGAAAGGGCAACCTGGAYGAAGGCATGTTTGCATAACTTTAAAGCTTGCCACAGAGTTCCTGAAGGAGACATCAGAAAAACCTTTACCTGCACTTATCGAAGGGAGAAAATGCAGTTTGAAGTCGCTTTAGTTAAGAATGCACCTTTTCAAAGTAAAAGCAAGTTGGTACTTTTAGATCTAAAGTTTGTGTTGGGTTTGTTAGTTTTTTTTTTTTTACTTGAACTTCTGACCCCTTTGCAGACTAGACATGACATGCCCTGTTTTTATTGCAGAGAGAAAAGAAGAAAGCTTTCTTTACAAAACTTGGACTTTAGATGCAGTAAAAGTAATCAAAATAGCAGAACTGTTTCTATTACCTGTCCTTTGTTTGATGTTTCCTCTTTCTAGGTTCCTTTTACAGAACAGGCCTCCCTCCCCCAGCAGAAAATACTCCTCTCAGTTGTGTCCAACTGTACGTCTTTTTTATTTGTGTTGCCTTATATACATGTAGCAGATACCCACCAAGGTTTGCTAGAGAACTGATGTAGGAACATATGCAGTAGCATTTTTTGCCAAGGATGCATGTTCATTTGGGATCTAATTAAATCCATGAAAATCCACTGTGAATGTAAGAGCCTGAGATAGATAGATAGATAGATCTATCTCAGTGTAGTGTTGGAATAAACCCAGCTGTTTTCTTCTCTGTGGTGTCTGTGGACTTCCTCTCAGCAGCAGAAAATCAGGAAGTTTGTGTTTGGGATTTATTGGGATACCTGGGATTGTTGAGGGCTTTTTGTTTTGATTTTTAAAATACATGTCACTTTCACAGACTGCTTATGGAGAAGAATTTATACAAAGGCTTCTTTGCTTCAATTGAGTATTATTTTTACCTGTATAGCTTTATATATTTTCACATGGGCAGAGTCACATGCACGGTCACTGTAGTAGCTACCAAATGCTGTAGAGCATTTTCCCCAAGAGCTTGCTGCAGCTGGATTTGGGGATATGTTGACTGGTGACCTCAGCTCTTGGCTGGTGTGATGGCAGGTGTTCAAGGCCATGGTTTTTTTTTGAAAATGGCTGGATTTGTTAGACCTGATGGGGAGAAGTGAGGTTAAACCCTGTACAAGCTATCTTGAGTTTGAAACAGTCCTACAGTGTTCCCTATGGTCTATTTAGGTAGCTTATTTCAGTATTTGAAAYTAATTTCTGACCATCATGCCCCAGTGAGTGAGGAGCAGGGCATAGTGTCTGGATATTTTTGTTAGCTTAGCAAGACATGGGATGTTTCTGGAGAAGGAATGTGCACCCATTTCTGTAGTGCATCTTTTATCATCCATGGATGGAAATTTCATGTGAACATATGTTTCTGTGGTTTGTCTTTCTCCTTCAGAAGTTAGTATGTGGTTTGCGGGGCTATTACTTGAGTGGGTTTGATGGTGCAGTGTTATGCCCACTCTTCAGAAAATACCGGGTAATTCAATAGYGAAGAATGTTGTATTCAACTGAAATTTAAAAGTTAATATTCAGTCAAATAAGTATCATTCTCTTAATGCATTTTATAACCAAAGATGTACTGTTTTGTCTAGATCAGTGGTACTGGTATATTTTGGTTRGTGACTTCTTTCATTATGGACAGAAATGGACTGAGCCAAAACTTGCTATTTGCACATGCTGCTTAATCACTCCTACAGTTTTTGTGGSAGCTATAGCTAAGGGGGCTTGGGGGCTTTTGACTCTGTGGAGAGGGGAACCTCTGAAACTGTGTGRTGGTTCTCTTTTCTGAAGATTTGAAGTGCCTATGACGCTTGAGGCTTCATGTAATTGGAGACATAAATACGATTTTTACATACTTTACTTAAAATGGAAACCAACAAGTTAATAATAGCTCTTATCGGGGGTATTTATGTAATGGAAGCCAACAGATGCTATTTGCATCTTGAAGAGCTGATGTACRAAATGTTATGTCAAGGCCCTGGCAGGTTTTGTGCTGGCGGAGGCTGGGTCAGGTGGGAGTGGGAGATGCTGGAGATCTGTAGGGCTTGATGGCGCCTCTGAAAAGTGAGATAACCCTATGAAATTTTGCATTTTAGCACATAGCTTACTTTAATCTAATGCTGCTAATAAAAAGTGTGAGAATTGATTTCTTTTATATTTATTCATGTCAAATGATCAATTACATTTTTWAAGTCACTTTAAAATGACTTTTCTTTATACTATCCTGTAGCTACAACTGCACATCTGATGTTCAGAACCCCTACAAAKTGTGTCTATAAATAAGTTGAAGTATCAGTAAAACTGGTGTCTGGCTAATAAGTTTCAGGAGTATAATGTGACAATCTGGGTGTTGTCTTCTGTGGAAAGTTACCAATGTAATTACCAAGCACCTCCCTGTTTCCCTGGGCTGTTCACCCTTTCATGTTCATTTGGTTCCAAGTTACCCTTTTCTAGATGGCATCTGAACTTTCCCAACTAATATAATATCTTATTTTGGTGTGTAGGAGAGACCAAGAATTTGGGGATTAGAACAGTCTGGGATGTGTGATCTTGTACCTAATGAAAACTTCTGTATTTGTAGAGCAATAATGCAGGCTTTACTTGGATTTAAAGGAATGGAAGAGACCCTGAGCTGTGAGTATGACTGTGGAGGCTCCACTGGCACTTGCTTAGTCGCCCTCTTCGGAGGAGCAGGAGAAGGTGGGAGGATAAGCTCGTGACTGCTGATGCTATTTGTTATAATTTTCTCCTGGATTAAATACTGGTATGCTTGCATTAGCTTGTTAAACTTTATTTGAAAACTTTGGAGTGCTTTTCTTCTTCAAAGTACACCTGTTATAGCATTAGATTAGAGCTCTGTTTCTTGATTATTGAATTGAATGGTGAACATATCGTGTCGTTAATGCCTCTTTGTGTTTTAATTGGAGCTCTAGAAGATGTTAAAAAACAGGTTTACACACATGCCTGACTGCTTGCTGAACTGAATATGCTTGGCGCACAGTCTTGAGGAAATTATGTATTACTTCGCTTATCTACTGTTCAGGGCTTCCCCCAGCCCCCTTTCTTTCCTTTTTCCCTTTTTTCCACCTTGCTCCAGATTAAAGTTCTTGCTTGAATGTTTTCTGAGGGTCTGTCTTATCTGCTTAAAGCTCCTGACTGTTGATAACCTTTGCTGGTGAAAGTCTCAGGCTCTTGCTCATGTCCTAGAGAGCAGTTTCRTGCCTGCACAAGTGGTTTGGTGCCCAGCAAGTCCAGCAGCTTCTGAGGGTTAGCGCAGTGCAGTGGGTGAGTAGAGGCTGGGATACCTGAGATCCTCCAAAGGGAGGGGTGGTACCCCACACACCAGGCACTGCAAAGTGAAACAACTGACTGGAACATTCATTGGAAATTGTTCTGTGTTACTGTGTAATGAAGTGTTTTCCAAGCTGTGTTTTAAATTTTCAGGACGTTCTTGTTTTGGAATATGCTGTTGGGTTGATGACAGAATTGTGAGAGGAAAAATACCTAGGAGAGGTATTTTTCAGGGTGCTGTCTTTCAATTGTGCTGTATGGTTTATCACATAATATTGAACTACTGAAATTCTTCAAAACTGTAGATAAGTTATGGATTTACTACAAGTGTTAGACAAAAGTTACA